ATGAAGTACAATTTTTCACACTGAGAAGTCACTGCTACGAACGCCACCAAAATGGAAGGCGAGGCAACTGTTTATTGCTCAACAGAAGGTCTAGGGGACGGCGAAGATTAATCCTGTGCAAAGATACGGAAGAAATCTGCTACAGACTCCAGTGTCTTCTGTCGAAGCTCAAAAACTGGCTTCTGTTAAACACAGGCTGTTCCATGTACAACTTAAACGGAGAAAACGCATTCGGAAAGTTTGAAACGATCATTAAACCATGATTGCACACAGAAGATCTGCTTCACATTCTTTACAGTGATTTATCAAACAACATAATTATACAAAATATCGACAAAAAGCAACATAACAAAAATAACTGATAAATCCAAGCAATTTTTCAAATCACTCAAATAGGTAACATTTTCAACAGTATGGCAATTCATTCATAGAGACTGAAAAAAGTGTGAATGGCCTAAATCACTGTCCAATCCAATCCTGTCGTACGCAGGAATTTAAAAAAAAACAATAATTGTGTAAAAGTCACTGAATACAGAAACATTCAAGAAACGATGTCAATTCGAGTCGCCCTTGCATCACAAAAGTAGAAACACAGACTATTCACGTTTAGTCTTCGAAGATCTGCCAGAGTAAACAAGTCGGCATACCAACTTGCCTAAAATGGAACAACCGACGTACGCGTATTTAATGCAGTAAAAGATGATGACAGCCAGCAAAATGAGGCACGTGACCAGGAACAAAATGACGTCAACCAAGAAGTACTGAAGTATGTTAAGGTCGTCCGCTGCGGAACGGGCGTGTGGTACCTAAAAATATTTGTTTTTTAACTTCCGCTTAGGCACCAAAAACTTGGCGGAGTGTTCGATGGCCGGAACCTACTTCCTGGTGGCGAATGATGAACTCCACCCAAAACGCGGCGTGGTCCAACTCTGTATATGGTACGTCCCTCAGCAAATCTCCGAATTCTTGGGCGGCAACCGAATATCTACAAATCAGGGAATGGGTCATAATTAAGCACCGTTTGAAACGATAAAACAAATAAATCAAAAAAAAATCACAAAAAACCATGCACTAAAAAGGGAATCTCTGACCTGAAATGACGGACGAAATTGACTGTTTGCTGTAATTCAAGTAGTCTGCAAATCGTTGATGAATCTGGCTTAGTCATTGCTAGTTTTGGAGAACAGCTTATTTAATTAACGTACGAAGGATTAAAGAACTTAGATAACTAAAGAAATTATTTTAACAATATTCCTGCACCAGACCTTTCAACTTACAAAAGTATGGAACATTTTCTCATAACTGAGGATGTAAAAATAGTAAAATTTTAGGCACGACCTACTAGCCATAAGAATAAGTGAATATATAAGATGAACAAAATTATAAGTACTTCTTTTCCGTTGTAATAGCAGTAATGGCATGGATAAGGTTGGCCTTCGTTACATTAGATTTTTTGATCATGATGCCAGCGTCGCGCGCGATAGCCCTCAGCGCGTAGTCCTCGTGGTCGGTGAAGATCGGTATCGCGACGATGGGCACTCCGTGCCACATGCTCTCCACGACACTGTTCAAACCGCCGTGATTAATGTACCCTTTGCACTTTGGATGGCCTAAAATGTTAGCACATAAACTGGGAGAATGATTCAACTTCTCCA